AAGAGCGGCAGGGTCTCCTTTGCGGGGGTCTTCTCTAGGCTAGCGCAGCCGTCAGGCACTGCCCGCTCCGGGGAGCGAGCTCGGGGAGGTGAGCGGTCCCCCCCCACCTCTGACCCAGAGGATGCCCCAGCCCTAAACCCCCGGCTCTAGGAGTGATCACCACGCGAGAACGCTCCCTCGGAAATCCCAGGCGAGTTTCTCTGTCGCCTCTTCACCCACCCTGCCTCTCCCGCTCCCGACCACGGGCGCTTTCAGGCACTGCCGAGGGATGAAGTCAGGGCTTCACCTGAGGACGCGCACGGACGGAAGAAGAGACAGACAGGGAAGAAGGTTACCACCACAACACAACCAGGGCGGAGAAACGAGGAGGAGGAGGGAGGGAGGAAGCACACCGGGGACGGGCTCACCTTTCTTGCGCTTGAGCTTGCGTTTGCGTTGCTTGTTGACGAAGCAGGCGGCGAGTGTGCTGAAGAGGATGGCAGCAGCCAGGAAGCAGATGGTGGCAACGATGCCGGCCAGCACCGGGCGGGCTAGACCCTCTTCCGTCAGGTCAGGCGGAGGGAATACGTCTGGGGGAACAAAACCCAACCATCAGGTGTTACGCACACACCCCTGCCTGCTGCCTTCCCTGGGGACCTAGCGCAGCAGGAAGGGCAAAGCTGTCTCCATGCAAGGCAACTCACTCACTCCTGCTATGGGGAATGACAACCTCACAGGTAAGACCCTGCTTCCAACCTAGCCCACGTGAGCAGAGCAATCTGCGCTGCTGCAGCCCATTCCCGAGGGATTTAGTGACCTTGCACCAGATAAACCTTCTTGCCTCAGCTGATGGACCCCCCAGGGAAGAAGCCTCCATGCCACAGAAATACATTTATGCATAAGCACACAGAACTACACCAAGCCTGCAGCTATCCCCTGGCTGCACAACCCGCTGCAGCAGCACAAGGTGTTTGACCCTGTCTCAGTGCTTCATTTCAGCTCTTCAATGAAAACCGAGCTCCCAACCCTCGTGACGCCCCTTTGCTGACCACAAGCACACCTGAAGCACCCGGAGACCTCAGCCGTGGCCACCTGCAGACGCAAACCCCACGCACACCAGCGCTGCTGCCGTGCACTCGCACGCGGGCTCAGCGCGCATTCGCCTGCCGGGAGCTCAGCCTGCAAGGGCAGCTGCCTGGGGCCAGACGCCCACCCTGCACAACC